CGCTGGGTGAGCAAAGGGACGGGGCGAGGGGCCTCGGTGTGCTCCCATCCTCACCAGGAGGGAAGGAGCCATTGGGGGGGCTTGGCAGCACCCCAGGATTACTTTTTTGGGGGTGCTGGGTGGCACATCCTGCACGGGCTCGATAAAAAATGCAATGGGGAAAAAAAATGCAATAGGTGATAAAATACACTTGGAAATGAAACATCCCTGCATGCCACTAAGGGCTGCACCTCCTGAGACATCTCATGCAATGGCCGAGTATCTCTGCAGTGGGGATGGGGTTGTCCATGGGCTGTCGCAGTTGGAAATACAGGTCCCGTGCCAATCCCGTGTGGTGGGGCTGAAACTTCATGTCCTGTGCTTGTCCGGCAGGAGAGACCTTCCTGCCCTACGACACAGGGCTGGCCATCGATGGCATCGTGGTGCAGAAGAGCATGGACCGCTTCTCCACGGCAGTGCTGGTCATGTCGCTGCTCGCCATAGGAAGGTAATCGCAGGGGCTGGGTTTGACCCTGACGAGGAGGAGTTTGGGGTTTTCCCACAGGAGCTCATGGTGGCGGTGGGCACGGGCTGTCTCACCTGCAGTCGCTCTGCCGGGTCCCTGCCAGACCCCAGGGATGCACTTTGATTTCTCTGCACTGTCACGGCGCAGAGCGGCCGTGGTGTCAGTCGCGAGGCCATTGCGTAGCCTTCCACGTCCGTCTGCTGGTGGTGGGGGAGCAGGAGAGGACACAGGGAACGGGCTCCCCAGGGAACACTGTCCCGACAGCGCTGTGTCCCCTCCCAAAGCTTGTCACTACCGGGGTTAGGACCAGCCATCCCTACGCTGGTAGCACCCAGAAGAGGTGTGGGCTGGTTTAGCCATCGCTTCCCAGGGTGGAAAATGGTACCAGCGCAGCATTGCCCAAGCCTTTGGCCCAGGCGTCGGGGTGTTTGTGTTGCTGAGGAGCGGGTTTTGTGTCCATTGGTCTATAACGTTTCTTATCTGCAATTAGCTCATTTGCCGCAGGTATCCGGGGTGGCGTTTTTACGCTCATATTTGCAAGACTGAACATTCGCCTTCGCAACTGCCTCTTCAGGTCGCTGGTGTCTCAGGAGATGAGTTTCTTCGATGAGAATCGCACAGGTTGGTTCCTCTTTCCCCCAGACTTGCTCTAACCCCTCTATCCCATCCCAATATTTTTTCCCCTTGGCCTGCCCTACCAAGCACGCAGCAGATTGGGGGCAACCCGAGACAGCACCCAAGTGCTCGTGTTCAGAAATAGCAGCAGAAAGCTCTTCCCTCTTGGTTGCCTCCCACCGTGGGGTTGGGACAGGATTGCCCAGCATCCTGGGGATGTCCCACTGCCACCGATCAGCCTGACATCCAGCAGTCCCGGGGCTGATGTGCTCATCTCCAGTCATCCCCAAAACACCTATTTTCTTCCTCCTGTACCTCCCGTCAGTGCTTGCTGGTCGGCCGCTCTCCAGCTCTGCTCCGGGCATCGGGAACCTCAGAAGTGTGAAGCTTGCTGGGTGGGCTTGTTGCTTTCCCTGCTAGCAATTCAGTGCTGTCCCGGTCCGTGCTACTCTGGTGTGGTCTCAGCCTGGTGTAACTTTTCGCACATTTAATTTCGTCTCAGTGGTATTTTTAGTTTTGAGGCTGTTGCCGTATTTAGCAAGCGCTGCACGGTGCCCTGGTAGCTGAGGACACCAGAGATGTTATTGTAAGTGGGATACGGGTAACCCTGGACTTACACAAAAGCATGGGAATTCAGCTGGACTCAAACACGGGTCAAGTATTTAGGAATTCAGGGTGGTACTTGCTGGCTGTAACGTTCAGCTCCACCAAAGGGCTTCACCCCTTAGTAGCTGGACCCATGTCCCCAGGGTCACTTGGGTCGGCTGCAGGCTGCAGGGCCCACGGCTAAACCTAAACAGCCCTCTCCGAAGCCACCTCGTGTTCCTCAGGGTGTGCTGTGCCCGGCCCGAGCTGGGCCCGCCAGGATGGTGGGGAAAGGTGCCAGCGGTCCCTGGTGAGCTCCTGGAGGGCTCCCGGTGTCATTTAGAAATGAACTTGGGGTTGGGTTGACAGCTCTGGAGGTGCATTCAGCAGCCCAGCAAACACTCCACCCACACACCTGCTGCCCCCCTGCGTGCCCATGGGGTGCCCTCCGGTGCAGGGTGCTGCCGCAGTCCCCTTTGCTGTCCTGCAGCCATCCTTGGTGACCCAGGGACATAGCTCGTGCCTTCAGATGCATTTCATGGCCCTGGTGCATGCAGCAATTCAAGCTCCTCTGTTTTGCTTTGCGTCCACAGTGGTGGAGAGTTGCCCCCCTTCCGTGCCACCCTTCAGACCCCCAGCAAGGGGCTGGGTTGAATGGGGAGCTCCATCTGGTCCCTGGCACAGGACATGGGATGTGACTAGGCAGTGACCTACCATGGTGATGTGTCCCCGCCCTCCCCTTCCCCAACCCTTCGTTGCTGCAGGAGATGTCATCTCCCGCCTGACATCGGACACAACCATTGTGAGCGACCTAGTCTCCCAGAACATCAACATCTTCCTGCGCAATGTGGTGAAGGCCACGGGGGTGATCTTCTTCATGTTCAGCCTCTCCTGGAAACTCTCGCTCGTCACCTTCATGGGCTTCCCCATCATCATGCTGGTGTCTGATGTCTATGGGAAGTACTACAAGGTAGGCAGGAGCAGCTGGCATGGCCATGGTGTGCTGCAACACTGGGCTGTTCCCCTCGTGAAGCCATCATGGAGATTGTGGGTGGCCTTGGAGCTGGTGGGACCGATGCTCGAGTGCTTTGCAGCTGGCAGTGGGGGCAGGAAGGCGGCATTAAACCTGCGTGGGCAGACAAGTGTAGCCTTGGCTCTTACCTTGCTTCATGCTCAGGAGTGGAAACATCTCGGGGCTGACAGAAGAGGTGGCTTGGCTGTGGAATGTCCCGTATGTGCCTGCCTGTCCTCAGGCAATCTCTGCTCTCCCTCTGGAGTGACTCAGTGGGGGTCAAACCCAGTGCCCAGCCCCTTCCCTCTGCCAGGGGCTAGTGTGGGCCAAGGGCAGTCCCCCATGGCTAATGCCACATTCCATGGACCATGCGAGTCCTGCCCTGCTGCTCCCCACATCAGTTATGGGTGCTTTCCACTGTGCTGGGGACACGGCGTGCACAGGTGCTGCCAAAACAGGGTCCTCGGGTGCTGCCTCACCTGGCCGCGGCTCCTCCTGCGGGTCGGGCCCTCGTGGGAGGAGTGGAGCTGCCCTTGGTCTCCAGACCTGGCCCTGACTGGGAACCTCCTGGAAGGGTTCCTGGGCCAGGCTGACCCTGTCCCCTCAGGGCACTGGGAACAACAGCTCTGCCGCAGGCTTCCCAAGTGGCCCTGGACACGGCACTTCACCTCCTGCAACCCAGGTCCCTGCTCGGGGACAGCAAAATGAATCCATCCTCCTCCTGGGCACAGCATCCTGGTGGCTGTCCGGAGGCGTGGGATCTATCCCAGTGCTCAGCCTTGTTGCCCACGGCCTTGGAAAATGTCACTGTGCCTTCTTTTCCCAAGCCCAGCAGAGCCCGGGGCGTGCGGGGAGATGTGCCACGGGCAGCCCGGTGCCTACTGAGCCCCCTCTGCCTCCCCCCGCTCCCTGCAGAAGCTCTCCAAGGATGTGCAGAATGCCCTGGCCAAGGCCAACAACACCGCCGAGGAGACCATCTCCGCCATGAAGACCGTCCGCAGTTTTGCCAACGAGGAGGCGGAGGCAAATGTGTACTGGCAGAAGCTGCAGCAGGTGTACAAACTCAACAAGCGGGAGGCCATGGCTTACACCTACTACGTCTGGTCCAGCGGGGTAGGTGGCCAGCACCGAGGCTTCCTTACGTGGGGCTGGGGACGGGCAAGGGACATTGCTTTGGATCCCAAAATGCACGTGACGCGATGCATGTGCTTCATCTCCGCTTCCAGCGAGCTTTGCGGGGCGAGCCCAGCCTTGATCTCCGCTGCCAGTAATCCTCTGTCTCTTGATTTGGGTTTTTTTTTTCACTCATCAAAAAATATATTCCATTCCCCCTTAGGGCAGGACTGCCTCATGCCACTGAACAGTCTGTTTTCTCTTGCAAATACGAATATAATTGATAACCGCTCAAGGTCGTGGAAAACCCCATGCTTCTGTGTTGCTGCATTGCGTGCCTGTGCCAGCTCATCTCCGGGGCTCCGGCTGGGAAACAGCCACGGCATCGGTTGAGCTTCTGCTCAGAAACAGAGATTTTCTGTGTGTGGGTGATGGTTCTGGTTTGGATTTGGGTTCTTTTGGGTCTGGTTTGTTTTTTTTTTTTCAAAATGCTTTTTAATCATTTAAGCCCAGATGGTTTGGGACTTCTCCTGCATGAGCTGATAACTACGCCTGCACAAAACCCTCACATGCGGCTGCCCTTATCCTTGCACATTCAAGGATCTAAGTAGCCTCTGGTGAAGGGTTTGCAAGTTATGGTGCCCTCATGCAGCCATGGGAGACTTTATGGCTTCCCAAGTCTAGAAGCAAAATCAGAGCATTTTTAACATTGTTCCTGGGCTCCCAGGTGAAGCCGGAGCGTGAACTGGGTCAGCACAGATTCTGCCAAGTCAAAGAAGGCAAAAAACCCCTCAAAAACTGCTCCTGCAGGGCTCATGTCGAAAGAAGCTGATGGACTCAGCATAGCCCTGGTAGAGTCATTCACAGCATCTTAAGGTCAGATCAGGGCAGAGCAATAGAGGAAGATTGTTCTTCCCCAGTATTTTTGTCTATGTGAATTTACAGCCTGTACCGCAAATGTCGCACAGAGTACCAGGGCATGGGCGCTTTTCTGAGCGCCTGGGCAGCATGGAACAAAACCAGCCGAATAAATGCAGGGGCTGGTATTTGTCATACCAGAGCTGATCTGTCTCCTTTCTACAGTAGGTGGTACCCCCTCCCCCCCCGCACTGATTTCAGGCAAGAGTTGAGGTCATGCTTCAGGGACTTGTACATGCAAGGAGGATTTTTTTGCATTAACTCCTGGCTTGATTTTTTGTTCTAAATTAAAATGTGTCACACTCATATAACAGAAGTTTATTTTAGTGGCGAGGTGACTGCATGCGTTAGATAATTTGAGCGTAGATTATTATGCTCGAGGACATTAGTCCAAAAAAGAAGTTCATGAGATGCTCTGTTATTTCAGATAAATTCTCGCTCCTTGGTTGTTGCCACTCTGGACTTCTATTTTGTTGAAAGATGCCAGCCCAGCATCAGCCCATGTACTTGAGTTGGTTTTCCCTTCTCACATCCATGCTCGCTGCTAGGGCTGTCAGCTGCGTGCTCTCAGGGATGCTCAGTTTGGAGCTCAAAGAATAAATGTCAGCACGTGAACTGTGGGCTGTTGTGTGGGTAATTACAAATGCACCAAAATATCAGTTGTCCTTGCTGATTTTGGGGTGTTTTCTCACTTTCAGCTGACCCTCCTGGTGGTCCAGGTCAGCATCCTTTACTACGGTGGGCACCTCGTGATCTCAGGGCAAATGACAAGCGGAAGCCTGATATCCTTCATCATTTACGAGTTTGTCTTAGGAGACTGCATGGAGGTGAGTCCGTTTTATCCCTCTGAGCTACCCCATATCAAGATGATGTTTATCTTCTAGAAGGTCACAGGGCTAGATCCAGTGTTGACTTTCCCGTGACACGTTTCCTTGGTGCTGTGGCTTTGCCCACCGATGGGCTGATTCTCCCCTCTGCTCCCCACTTCCCTCCTGCTGTGGCCTCACAACCCGAACGCACCCGAAGCAGCTTATCCCCTTGAAAAGGCAACTGGGACCAAAGGGGTCAGGCTGGCCCCACTGAAGGGCAGAGGCTTGGCTGCCTCCCAAGCACATTTCCTGGCATGAAGGATGCAGGGATTACGAAGCTGTCTGTTAAATTTCAGCCTTCATTAAAAACTTAATTATATTACTTTTTGAAATTCTTTTTTTCCCCCTGGAATAGGCTGCAAGCTGCTGCGTTGGCAGTGCATTAGCAAGATGGGATTGTGGGTGGAATGGTAGAGCCCACCCAGGGCTGCCTTCCCCTTGCAAAGGCGTAAGCTTGGCTAATCGAGACCGAAATGATTAAGTCGAGGTTTCCTTGCAGCCAAGCGTGGTTTCGGTGGTGCTTCAGCCTTTGTGCAGCAGCACAGCAGAGCTGGAGGGAGCTCACCCAGCTCTCACCATCTGTTCGGATGACTGCAGGCTCTGGTGGTGTTTCCAGGCTGTGGGTTTGGTGTGGGTTTGGTTTGGTTTGGGGTTTTTTTTTCCCCTCCTGTTGGGAGGGGCAGTTTCAGTACAAGCTGTTCCGCAGCTCTAGGTTTAATATTGAAAAGAGCCGACGTGACGAGGGTTTATTCCAGGGAAGCCAGTGTCAGCATGCAGCAGTTGTAGTTGGGAAAGCGCAATGGTAAATCCACTAGGACCATATCCTGGCAGGCAATAGCCTTATTGGCTGCCAAATGGTTGTCTGGAAGGGTCCAGCCTGGAGCTGCTCTGCATTTGAGACCCGTGTGCTAGGGAATGAGCTGGCCGTCCTCAGGGGCTGGTGCGATGTGCTGCCGTACGTGGACTCTGTCCAGCCATTGGGTTGGGGAGCTGCTGGTCTTGAGCAAAGAGAGATAAGTAGAGGATTTTGTTGGAAGTTTGAGTCATGGATCTCCTGGTGCATGTCTTCTCTTCCCAATCCATGTGTTTCCTTCTGTTCCCCTCTGAGTCTACCCATGCACAAAACCCCCTTAGATGCCCTTTCCCTGGATGTGTCCATATATCCCCTCCATACCCTGCAGAGGGGGAAGAGCTTTCTTTTCCTGCGTCTGATGACTGTAGTTAATGTCAGGTGATAGAAGATTTGGGAATGCTTCACCCATTCTCCTTACAAGTGGCACTGACTGACTTTTCCATCGCATGGGAGGGTCTCACCATTGCCTCTTCCCTTCTAGTCCGTCGGTTCCGTCTACAGCGGCCTGATGCAGGGAGTGGGAGCTGCCGAGAAGGTGTTTGAGTTCATCGACCGCAAGCCAACGATGGTGAATGATGGGTCCCTGGCCCCAGACCACGTGGATGGGAAGGTGGAGTTCAAAAACGTGACATTTTCCTATCGCACTCGCTCTGCAACGCAGGTCCTCCAGGTGAGCCCCGCGGGCACAGAGCGCTCCCTGCCACGAGGCATCACGCGCTGCTTCTCCATCGCGGCAATAACCGATCCCCAGCCTGCAAGAAATGTCAGCTGCCCTTTTGGGGATGCGTAAAGGCAGGCTCAACAGCATGCTGGAAAACAGATTATAAGGAACAGCGGGTGTTTAGGGCCAGCTTTCCTTACAAGGAATGAGATTTATTAATAAAACCCTTGTTCCCCGCTCAGGCATTAAACACATCAGCATGGTACAGGGCTTTGTGCCAAGCTGCCTCAGACTGTTTCCATGGGAGAGGGGCTGGGGTCATGAGGCAGGGGGAGACAGCAAAGAAGTTAGTTTGCTTTGTAGTTTTTAGAGGTCCTGCTACATCAGCAGGCAAATTTGAAGCAATGTTGGAGGCTTCTTCCTTCCTCAGAGCCAGGAGAGATGGCTGATGTGGCATGTCACCAAGGTGGAGGGTCACCGTGGCTGGATTTCAGCTACTTTTCTTGCATAGTGCCCAAGCACTATGGGAAAAACCAGGACCTGAGCACGCTCTCCCATCCATGTTGCAGAATGTGTCCTTCACCCTGCACCCCGGCAAAGTGACGGCACTGGTGGGTCCTTCAGGGAGCGGGAAGAGCTCCTGTGTCAACATCCTGGAGAACTTCTACCCTCTGCAAGACGGGCAGGTGCTGCTGGACGGGCGTCCCATTAACATGTACGATCACAAGTACCTGCACTCAGTGGTACGAGCGACTGATACGTGTATTCTAGCTATCACCTGCCGGGATCAGAGGGGATGGATGGTAGTGTTGCATGTTGCTTTGGATTTGATCTGGCAACTTCTAAAACGTTCAGAGAGCTGGAGGCTGGAGGTGGTCCAGGAAATGAATTCAGATAATTTGTGGGGGCGGAAGGGAAAGGGATGGAGAGTGGTTTCATGGGGAGGGGGAAGCTTTCCAAAAACAGAACAAAAAACATGTTTTGTTTTGTATTTTTTGGCCAATGCAGTCGAAATATGGTTTTGGTTGCTGGATTAATTATCATCTAAATTGGGTTTGGAAAAAGAGTTTTCCTCCAGCACTTTCTACCTTAAGATCTTAAAGTAATTTTCAGCTAATGGGGAGTTAAACGTCGTGGGATGCTGGCAGCAGCTGGAGCAGCAGAGGAGCTGGGTGGTTTGCCTAGGAGAGGGGTCCGGGCCCCTCGGCTCTCATCTGTGTGTCAGCACAGATCAGCCTTCATCTCCTCTGCAAGTAACTGCCTTCTTTGTTTGCCCCTAGAGCGAATGGCCTCAGCAGTTAGCAGGAAAACCTGAAAACAATTGATCAGAGACAGGCTGGAAAGCCAAAGTCAGTGTGACTAATTTACATTCCCTGCCCGTACTGAGCGAAAATTAAAAGACAAGCTAGTCTTTCAGTTTAGGAAGCCTGGTGAGAAGTCAATTAAAATATGACCGTGTCCCGCTGGCTCTCTTCGTGTCCAGTTCTGAGCAATAATTTGGAGGGTGTAATTTATTTCAATATTGAGGGTTTGACAAAGCAGGCTGAACGCGAGAGTGAGCAGCAACGGCTGTAAGGTAGGACAGGGAGGCTGTTGCTAAGCAATTAAGGAATTGCAGCAGCTATGTCCCTAACTTGCTAATTTTGGATTAAAAGATGCAGGAGGCCTCATTCACGTGGCCCAAATATGATTACTGGCCTTGAATGGAAAATCAGCAAGAGCCTGGGAGACAGTCTCTCCAGCCTGCCTTGTCCCAGCAACAGGTTTCCCATTATGGGAAGAGCAAACAGTGATGGGAATGACAGGTCTGGAGCAAAACCACAGCAGGATCTTGGAGGGGGAAGCCCGTCCCAGATGCTAACATACCAGCATTGCATGAGGTTTCTTTGCTGCAAAACGGCTTCCCAGCAGATGATGCAAACTGGGCTGGGGCTGCCACTGGGCACCCCATTGTTAGTATTTTCACTGGAAGCTCCCACGGAGGCACTTCTATATCTTGGTTTAATGGTGGGGCTCTGCCCGCTTGAGTGCTTACCCAGCAGGAGTAAATGCTGATGATCTGAGACGCTGGCTGGTGCGTCTTCTGCTCCCGACCCCCTGCTCTTCCCTTCCTTTCTGCAGATCTCCCTGGTGAGCCAAGAGCCGGTGCTGTTCGCCCGGTCTATTGCGGATAATATTTCTTATGGCTTAACTTCAGCCTCCTTCGAGTCGGTTGTTCAGGCTGCCCAGAAGGCCAACGCGCACGCCTTCATCACGGAGTTACAAGACGGCTACCACACAGGTACCAAAATCTCTCCATTCACACTTGAAAGCATTGCCTAGGGAAGGCAGAGCCTCTCCCCTTGCGTGGAAAGTCTGGCAGGTAGTGATGGACACGGGTCTGTGGTGGTGTAGAGGCAGCTACATGGAGAGGTGCAGCACCCTGGCTGCCTTTTGGGGTCACTGAGCTGTTACAGATTTCTAAGCCCATCTCAGGAGAGTGTTTCTGCTGCTGCTCTGTAGCAGCAGGGTGAGTGTCCCCCATCCCATCCCATCCCATCCCATCCCATCCCATCCCATCCCATCCCATCCCGACCGGTCTGGCTCCTGGTGCCTGGCAGTGTTACAGAGACGTGGCACTGGCAGTCTCACCATGTTTCAGTGTGGTGATCAGGAGAAAAGCCCAGAACCCAAGCGGTTAGCTGTGTACCATCCCACCTACAGAGGAAGAAAATAAACCTGTGATAAATCCATAGTGATAAAAGCTGATGTGTTTGTGACAGTGGGACTTTGTGAGGAGGCAGGTCGGACTGATGATGGTTTGTGTTTATGGGAGCCAGCAGAGAGGTCCTGATTTCCCCTCACGGCTGCCTCGGCTGCACCTCCTCCAGAGCCCGACTTGCAGGGGGAGATGGCAGCTGCATGGGTAAGGAGGGGGGTTTGGATGAGCTCCCAGGCTCAGGGACTCCTCTGCATTGTTTCCATGAGCATTAGTCACTCAAATCCTGGGACAACAGTGGAGAACTTGCTGCTGGAGGGAAGGGCTGCAGCGTCAGGGATGTTTAACTCACTTAAATTGCTCTGCCAAGTGAGCAGAAGCATTTCCCTCGTCTTTGCTTCAAAGCATGACACCATCCCTGATGCTGTGGCTGGGGGTTGAACTTGATGGCAGCTCTTGATTTTTATTTTGACCCCTTCCTCTGTTTCTTGACCCAACAGAGGCAGGTGAAAAAGGAGCCCAGCTGTCGGGTGGGCAGAAGCAGAGAGTGGCGATTGCCAGGGCCTTGATCCGAACCCCCCCGATCCTAATCCTGGATGAAGCCACGAGCGCGCTGGATGCAGAGAGCGAACATGCGGTGAGTAGGTGACTTGGGTGTTTGGGCCAAAGAAGCAATCTGGGTTTGGAGGAAAGACTGTAGCTTCAATTTCCAGCCTGTGGACAAGCTTAGTCTTGACATGGTGCAATCAGAGGTTTGGGTAAGACGGTAATTCCTGAGCAGGAATTTGCTTCCAACACTGCTGTAGCCACCAAGGAGGGAATAATCCTGTGCTCACAGAAGCCAATGCCTGACAAACCTGATGAGATCTCTGCCAATTTTTTGAATGTGGAAAGTGTTAATTGGCATACAGCAACTCTGTGCAGCCTTTTAGGACAGGGTATGGAGGAAGACCCTAAAAAATGGTACTGCAGCAGGGAGAGTAGGACTGCCTGAGCTAAAATCCCAGCTGAGGCACCAAAGAAGCCACACTTGCAGGAAAGGCCCTGAGCTTTCTGTGAACTGAGCTGGTTTATCTGGCTGGGATGTGATGACCAAACAGCCCTACCAGTAGCAGTTTGGCCTCACTGGTTTAATGACATGAAGGAAAGCTAGTTCAAAGTTGAGGTGTGAGGACGTGTCTCCTGGTCCTGGAGGATGAGTGCTGCTGGTCCACGGTGTGGGGCAGCACGAGCATCTGCCCTTGGAGCAGGTCGTTGGCTCACAGGTCCTCAGCCATGTGCGTGGCATCTCATGCCAGCCAGGGGCTGGTTTTGGCTAGCCGAGGGTGTCAATGTGACATGTGCCTGGTGGCCATCTGCCTGTGTTTAGACCTTAGTGCTACTGTCTTGTCTCTTGGCTGGAAAACAGCTTGCTCTTGCTTTGCCTTGATACACCCAGGAAGCAGCCCCGCTTTTCTGAGCAGCTGCATTTACCAGGTATTGGCTTCCTGCAGTCCATGCCAATACCTCATGGCCTCCAAATCTGGGGCCCAGCTCTAACAAGAACCCAGCTCGCAGGCTCAGACCTGTGTGCATACCGCACCTGCGGGCTGGCTGGACTGAGACGGCCTTTTGGGCTGCACAGCGAGAGCCAGGAGCTGGGATGGACGTGCTGGTGCTGGTAGTGCCGCAGGGAGTCTTGTGTCCTTTGCGTAGCCAGAGGGGAGCAAAGCTCCTGTCCAGAGGTTTCTTAACGCAGACGACAAAGTTCTCCCTTCCAAAGTGGAGCCAGTGATGCTCAGGCACTAACGTCTTTTCCTCCCGCACAGATTCAGCAGGCGATTTATGGCGACTTGCAGAACCACACGGTGCTTGTCATAGCTCACAGGCTGAGCACTGTGGAGAAGGCACACAACATCATTGTGCTGGACAAGGGCCGCGTGGTGCAGCAGGGCTCGCACAAGGAGCTGATGGAAGAAGGAGGCCTTTATTCCAAGCTGGTGCAGAGACAGATCCTGGGGCTGGAGGGGAGCGGCGCGGACAGTCGCCAACCTGCAGCCCGGGGGGATTCAGTGAAGGCGCCCGGCAGGCTGGAGGAAGAGTTCAGGATAGACCGTTCCCTGCCAGCCGTGGCACAGGACGATTACAACACCACGGCTCACAAGTGAGAGCGGCGATGGCCGGCACTCAAGACGCTTGCTGGGACGCCGAGACAGGAGGCGGCTTGCCGACGGGCTCGCGCGCTGCAGAACGCCGCCCGTTTGCTCACCCCGCGCGCGCACATCACACCCCGTGCACACACAAACACACACTATAGAGCTTCCTGCATTACGGTCCGGCGGGCAGATGCCAGCTGGTTAAACAGGGAAATGGATTTATCCGAGGGAGTTGGGTCTTTAGCAATTCCCAGCGTTTCTACTGGGTTTCTTTTCTTACTACCAGTAATTCCTCTCGACTGGGACTTTTCTCCCATTGATATGCATGTGTAACTGCTATTAACTGTAATGGATGTTAAATGCATGCATGGAGGGGAAGATTGAAAACCCCTTCAGGAATTCCAAGGGGTGGCTTCTGTGGCTGGATAGAAAAACAGTGACTGTAAAACAAGGTCCTGCTCCCGCTATCAATCTATGGGGCCAATCCAGGGTCTGCTGAAGTCTGTAGGGAGCTCCCTTTGGCTTCGGTGAAAACTGGATCGCTCCCATGGGGCTGAATGCCGGGAGAGTTTTGCACTGAGTGCCTGCAGGCTCAGGCTCACGACCATTGCTGCTGAGCTTGTATCATGTAGTAACCATCCTTGCTGGAACGAGCCAGGGGACCAGGAGGCAGATGTTGCTTTCAGATTTGCTCTTGGTGCTTGGTGGGTGTTTGTTTTTATGGATGAAAAGGTTTACCATAATTGGGTTAGGTTTTGGGGTGTGGGTTTTTTTGGTTTGGGTTGCTTTTTGGTTTGTTTTAATATATTTGTGTGCACTGTGCAATGTCTGTCTGGCTCCAGCATCCACTGAAAATTGGTCTGTTATTTCAGAATTTTTTTAACTCTCAATCCCGGTGCTTGTTTAAAAAAAACACTACTAAAGACAGGCATAAAATACTAAAAGACAGCACTTTATAAATCCCACCAAAGCTTTGTTCAGCTTCAGGCCGTGCTAGCGACTTCACTGCATGGGAAACCGTATGGTCACTTTCCTTGAAGTCCGACTTCAGCTGCCTGAACTTCAAAATGTGTTTCTTTGAATATTATTTATTAACTTACTTTTAGTATGAGGGATAGAAAGAAATATGTTGCTTCTAGCCCTTTTGGATAATGGCTCTGGCTTAGTGGTGTTATCCTGCCATAGACTGGTGAAGAAACCTATGCAGCCAGGCAGGTGCTGTTGAAAAATAATATTTATACGGGGAAGATTGACTTCAGACTGTGCGTAGTTAAGAAATTATCTCAAGCACTTTAGCTCTCACGTTTTCTGATATTTGAATGCTGCTGTGTTTTACTTTTCGGCAGGTTTGCATTTTTGTTGTTGGCAATGTTTTGTTTTTGTTTAGCGATGTTTTACAAACTCTTTAGCATCCTTGAGGAGGGATGCTCAAAAAATAAAATACTACCTCTGCCACTCAACATCGAGCCCCAATCTAGTGAGGGTGTTTTTTGCATTCAGGGTTTTCAAGGTAATGTTCATCTGAGATGATGGTGGAATACAGCTGCACACTGCACGTGTTCTGGCTTCCTTGCAGGTAATGACAAGAAGAACCTACAGAGAATGAGGTATGTAAAAGACTTCAGGATCTGATAATGGCTGTGAGCCATAGCAGTAGGTATAACCCGTTTAAGAACTTGTTTTCATCCCAGATCCCATCCGGTAGTCAGTCTTGCACGAAAGGGCAGGCAGTCTAACCCGTTCTCAAGGCACAATGCTTCGTGACTGGAATATTTTCAGCTGCTTGCTTTTGTGATATGATAAAAATCTGTGCCTCAGAAGAGTGAGAGCTCTTTTTGTCTTATCTCCCTCCACTTAAAAAACCTCTGAACTCCTCAGTTCACCCCTTCCAGTAAACGGCCATGCATTCCT